AGAGACAGAGAGAAAGAAAGAAAGAGAGAAAGAGAGAGAGAAAGAGAAACAACAAGAGATGGAGGAGAGGGAGAAAGAAGGATAAAGAGAGAAAACCAGAAAACCGGAAGGAAGGAAGGAAGGAAGGAAGGAAGGAAGGAAGGAAGGAAGGAAGGAAGGAAACCTGCTAGGTGCACTGGAAGAGAATAGCAAGCTTGGAAAGAATGTCCGCTTTTTCTTTTTCACAAACAAACAAACAAATAAAAAGCGGTTTCAGTAGAACCTATATACAGCATATCTATGTGTAAATACACACATATAGAAAAAGGCAGGAATGATTTACGCTTGAATTTCTGTGATCCTTTCTCTTCCCAGTGTTTACAAGGCGGGGCTCCATTTGCAAGTTATACATCTGTTCGCTTCACGTGACATTTTCATAAATGCTCTAACATCTGGTCAAAATAAACCTCCTTCAGGTACCTGCTTAACTTTTCACATGTCAAAATCCCTTCCCCTCTGAAGTTCTCCTTTCCTCTCCGGCTGCAGCCGTGTGTATTGCTCCTTTCTTGACTGCTTGTTTAATGACTCTGCCTCGTCCCGAACAGAACAAAGCAACCCTAAACATAAGGGGACGACCCCGACCCTTCCCAAGAGCATCCTTCCCCCTTCCACCCCCTCCCACTTCCAGATTTCCCCGCATTAGGAGGGCAGAGCGGGTCTTCTCCCACCGCAGTATTACGCGATGGGATTTCTGCAACCCAGCAAACAAGATTTGCACCACCCCCGCTCCAAGCGACCCCACAGTCCTGCTCGGGGTAATATTTTGCACGTAGACTAATAATATTCTCAAATTCAAATGATCMGCCTCTAATTGTCCCAAACCTATTCCATTATTATTTCTGCTGTTAATAGTTGCTGCTGTTACCTTCGTAGCCGTCCTTATCCCAGCGTGGTTTGTCTGAATTATTTTGGACTAAACCATTTCTTTTCTTGCTTTGTCCATACAGCGAATAAAGGAATTTTTGTAAAGTTTCTGCAAATTTCATGTCACCTCTTTATRAAAAGAGTGGGGAAGTGTCGGCTAACGAAGACAAGACGACTACATAAATAAGAAGAGTGTAAGTGCTCCTGAGCGGGCAGAGGAGACAGGGAATTACTAAGAGAACGGAGAGCTTTTTCGCCGATCTGAATATTTAGTTTTGTTTTGCGTTTTATTTCGGATTTTTAAACGAGTGTTACCATGATGATTAAGTTTCCGCATCTTTATTGATCTCGATCTGTAAAACYGTTCTAAGCCTCCCGCAACGTCGATCACTTGGTCTTTATAAAGGGCCGGCTTGTTTGYTTTTAAAAAAGAAAAGGGGGACTTTTCTACAAGTGATTTTAACCTGCTCCACCTTCAAGTGACCTGCCAAATGCTCCTTCTTACTTTATAGACATCTGGGAATTCCATACATGCCTTAAACTCCAATTACACACCTTCTTCAAAGGACACGTGCTTTGATTTTCCAAAAACATTAAGTGGACTGAAGTCGAAAGAAGCTGGTGCAGAAGTTAATGTAAAATACATCCTGTGCCATGTTTACTGCGGGCAGGTTATGTGTGCGGCAAATAAAATAAGTCCTGATGGGATGTGGATGTGTGCGCCTCTCTTTTTTTTCTTTTGCTTTATCCTCCCGGATCCCTTTACGGGGTGGATTGGACTTGCCGTCACCACCACCACCACCCGCTTCCCAAAGATGTTAATTTATGGCGGGAGCGCTCCCGCTCTCCCGGCGTGTCCGCTGCCTGCCGAAGMGGGGCAGGTGAAGGGAGAGCCGTGTGAACCGAGCGGACGCAGCCACCGAGAGCGGCTGGGGGAGCCCCGGCGCCGGGAGCTGAGCCCATTCCCGGGAGTCGCTCCCGGTGACGCCGACCCCCGCAGCGGCTCGCCCTGGGCGGCAGGTGCCCGAGCTGCCGGCGCCGCAGGTGAGCCCCTCTTCCCCTGCGCTTTTCAGTGATTTTGTGCCCCCGCCCTCTCCCTCCGTTTCCCCCCACATCCCCACGGCGCGTTTGTTTGTTTTTCTTAAAATTACAGATGCAGGGAAAACCGCCTGACATCATGGGAGCGGGACAAGAGCGCACTTTGAAGGGCTCCTGGGCAGGACTTCAAGTGAAATCATACGCCGGGAAGGAATCCGATACCGGCCTGGAGAAAGCAGCGGGGCGGCCCYTGCCAAACCCAGGAATGCGGAGGGCCCGCGGCCGGCGCCCCCCGCCCGCCGCCCCGCAGGAGGCGCAGCGCCGGCACCGCCGCTCCGCGCCCCGCACCTCTCGGTCCGCGAATAAACGGGACAGATTGATGCTTCGGAGAAAAATAAGCGAAATCAATCAGGATTTCCAAAGGAAGAGTTAATTTTCCGATTGCCAGAGTGTTTAAAATTCCCAGAAGGCAAATTAATATACAYATTATTTCTTTTTTCCTGCACTAAGCCTGACGCTGACTTAATCACTTCTGGCTCTAGCCCTAGGAGCACCAGGCCTCTGCAGTCCCCAATTTCAACCCAGGAAAGGGTACGCTTGTAGTTTTAAAACAGTTTTATCTCTGTAGTTTTATCTCTTTCTTATGATTTTTCTTTTTAATGAGGCAGATGTAGAGATTGGCAGCCGGGAAAGCACACCGGCTGAATGCCTGGTGCCCGGGAATGCTGCGGCGCCGGCAGGGACTCTTTCGGAGGGACACAGAAGTGAGAAGGAAGACCTGCCAGTGGCATGAGTCCCACGGATAGGAATTGGGGATTTTTCTCACTCGGATGTTCAGTTTGCTGGAAAGGTGTTGCACCGGCTGGACCAGAGGCCTCTTGCTGGTTGCAACAGAGCCAGTCAGGTTTAAGTCCATCAAACGGGGCCGCTCCCGATTTCTTAAGGGCGAGCACAGTTTGATTCGTGGCTTTTTAAATGCACTTGATTCCTCATTCACAWTTCGCAGGAATCGCCTTCCACGAAAAACGCCTTCTCCTCAGCATCGAGCGGCTCATCTGGTTGGTTTTTAATTCCTGAAATCTGTTTTATCCTAAAGCATCAGGAGCTTTCCCCATCTTTCCCCGGTGTGATTTCTCCCTCAAAAGGAACAACMGAAACCTTTTATAACCTCTCAAATCCCCTTAGCCCCACTGCCAAAGCTGCGCCGGCTGCCCATGACTCTCGCTTTCGCTGCAGCCGAGGTAACGCTGGCAGACATTACCTGCTCCTCGGCAGCTGCACGCATCGGAGCCGGGGACTCGGAGTCGCTGAGAGGGGACCTTGCGGGTGCCAGGCTGCCGAGAGAAGGCAGCGACATTTCGGGAGCTCGTAGCAGCTTCCCCTCCGCTCCATCACTGAGAGCTGCGACCACCAGGGCCCTCATCTAATTTTCAAGTCCTYGCTAATCCGGCCGTGCAAACAAGCGCTGCGGGCTCTCTACGGTAAACATCGCGCACTGAGCTAAAATATGCCCGATATTAAATTCATAACGCTCTTATGTGGGTAATAGACGGCAATATGTGGATATGGAAACAAAAACAGTCAGGCAATAAAGTCAACTCAACATGGGCTATRCAAACAAGCTGTCTTGAAAAAAAACACCCCATCCTATTTACCCTAGACACTGGCCCAACTCCGGCAGCAGAATCCACGTCTGCACGGAGGGCACCGCTCAGCTCCCGGGCGGCAGTGGTCCCCGCGCACCCGCGCATCCTTCGCGGCCGCGGAGGGGCAGGAGGCGCCGGACCCCGCGCACTGCCCGGCTCAGTGACAGCAGAGACTCAAACAGCTGTCCAGTTATAAGGGGTGAGGTTTGGTTTGGGTTGTTTTGTTTCCTGGGTTTTTTTTTTTTTTCACAACTTCCCTTTCACCTTCCTCCCGAGCCCTCAGATCTGGAGATTCCCTCCCTTTTGCAGCCGGGTTCTCATGGCATACTGGGGACCCCGCGGAGGGTAAGGTGAGAAAAAAGAGGGGCAACATGCGCCCTACACGTAGAAAAGGAGAGGGAGGGTTACAGTATTCCCCCGTGCCTTGCACAACGAAAATGTGATYGCTAGTATATTTATTATATAAAACCCTAGAGAGCAGAGCAGTCAAACATCACTTCCACCGGAAAACCCCACTCGCTCGACACTTCCCTATTTCAATCTCACTTTCTGTTGCTCTGCCTTTGGATGGACGYATTCCTATTTAAAACCGATGCCTCTTCCTCAGGGATATCAGCAAAAATACCTGCACCGGAGGCTGGAGAACGGGCCCCGATCCTGCCTCACATCTGGGGCCAAAACACAAACGCAGAGGCAGAGCTCTGCTGCGAAAACTCTGTTCCCCGCGAAACTCTGCCGCGCCTGGCATGAAGATTGAAGGGGGAGAGAGAGAGAAAGAGGAGACAATACCTTCCTCTGCAGATGCAGTGGGCTTCAGCACAGAATAATAAAGCTGTCTCAATAAATAACGTGCCTGTGTCTGTCAGTAGCTAGTTTATTTGCGTTTTTCGCCTGGTTTGTTTATACTAGTGCCCCCTCTCTCTTGGGTGTCTTTACAGATCAACAAGCAGGTATTTATCTAGAGTTCTAACCCTGAGTTCTCAGAGAGACCAAACTTTAAGGTTATTAAAATTTCAATCATATTTATTTATTGCAGAAAAATAATATACAATGATATTTACAAAACAATCATAAAAATAGGAATGCATTTAGACACCGGATCTATTTGCATTTTAACATGGGTCATCAATAAATAAATAAAATGTTTATTTTTTTTCTCAGAGGAAAAATAATAATAATAAAAAAGTTAGGAACCGGGTATATAACAGCTTGACCCCAGCTTATTCCCCCCTAAAAAAAAAAGTTTTTCATCTCTACAGGGATATTTTTGGTTGGCTGCTTGGTTTCATTCAAGAATGAAGAAAGTCCACAATAATGTATTTCCTTTCATCAGTGGCTCATAGGCACGACCTCTTGGGAATGCATGCAAAAAAAAGGGCAAAAGTAAAAAAAAAAAAAAAAAATCAATTCCAACATTCTTCGTCAAAATTAAAAAAAAAAAGAACGGTTCAGACTTCTATCAGAATGCAGAGATGTGTGGATTGTACCGACGCCCAAGGGGTAGTCACTGTCCAAAGCCCTTGTCTCTTTCTCTTTCTTTAAGTGCTCCCCACGCCCTGCTTTGAATTTGGATATTACTCTTCTAATTTCCAAAAAATCCTTGGTACATTTTTTGTTAGACAAGATAAAAAAAAATCGTATCCAACTTCAGAGTCTCTAGATTGTCCATTTTCTCCTTCTGTGGGAACAATGTCATCTGCAAAAACCCAGAAAGGGCGGAAAACTCGTTACTGAAATGAAAGATACACAAACATCTACCTACACTTCTCTGTCTCTGCAAATACACGCATCGGGCAGGAAGGGAGAACTCGCCGTGCGGGCGGTGAACGTGTGACACCCTAGCCCGGCGGTCCGCGGTGTCACAGCAGAGGAGAGGACTGCTGGGGCGGTAGGAAACGCTCATGGGGAGGACATGAATTCACTTCAAAATATGAGCAGCAGCAGCGGCGGCGGCAGCAGAGGAGGCGGCAGCGGGAGCCATCGCAGCAGCCCCGCTGGCTCCGCAGCGTTTGGTGCAAAAGTAACCTCAGGCCGGCCCCATCTGGCGGGGCACACCCGCACCGCCCGCAGCCCACCCCGCCGGCAGCGCCGGGCCACGCGTGGGCCCCGCGGGCTCGGGGGCGCACCTCGGGCCGCGCAGGAGGAGGGACGCGCCGGGTGGGGGAGGCACCTCCGGCCGCCCTGCTCGCCGCTGCTCTCCGCAGCCAGGCCTCTCCAGGCGGGCTGGGGGCCCTCTCGCCCCACGGCCACGCGTGCCCGCCTCAGGCACAGCCGGCGGCCTCTGGCCTCCCTCCCCCGCTTAGTCCCGCCGGTTTCGGGGTCCCTGCCTTACCTAGGGCTCCTGCCGGGGAGATGCGGGTGGGGGACGCCGCCTGCTAGTGGGATGCGGACATGGACCAGGCGCCCTCCATTCTCCACACCGAGAAAGCGTAGCTGAGCCGCTCGTGGGCCACATAGCTGCAGCTTGCCATCTTGGAGTCCAGCTCGTCGCTCTGTAAGACCTGGTAGAGGAAGTCGATGTACCTGGCCGCCAGCTTGAGGGTCTGGATCTTGCTGAGCTTGTCCGAGGGCAGCGTGGGGATGATCTTCCGCAGGGCGGCGAAGGCTTCGTTCAGCGACTGCGTGCGCTGCCGCTCCCGCACGTTGGCCATGACCCGCTGGGTCTGCAGCTCCTCGTAGGACTGGGGGCTGCCGCCGCCGCTGCTGCTGCCGCCGCCCCCGCCGCCCCCGCCCGCCCCGCACTTCTTGCCCCGCTTGCCTTGGGCCGGGCTGCAGGGCTCGTCCGCGGCCCCGACGGCTCCGCCGGCGCTGCGGCGGCTGGAGCGGCGCTTGCGCCCCCCTCTCTTGTTGTTGGGCAGCTGCTGCCGGTCCGGCTCCTCTTCGCTGTTGCTCAAGCTGTCGTCGGCGGGGGAGACTGGCGAGTTTGACTCGTCCTGCTGCATCATCTCTGGGGGGAGACGCGAGAAGCGGGCCGGGAGGGGGGGGAGGGCAGGGAGAAGAGGGGGGCACCTAACCCGCCAGCTCCCCCTTGATCGGCTGCTTCGYTGGCCTGCGAGGAGAAGGAGGAGGGAAGGAAGGAGGGAGGACCTCACTTTGGGGGGAGGGGGGATGGCATCAGGATCCAAGAGGAAAAAAAATAAAAAGGCCAACCAAAAAAAAATCCCTCCCGATCCCTCCTTGGAGCCCCTTCGAGGTGTCTGGGATTGGGAGAAAGTTGAAGACTTGGAGGTTCTTATAGCTCCTGCTGGCGGAAAGTTTGGGGGCAGCAGTGYCATTGGCCTGACGTGGAGAGGAGGGACTTTTGCTGAGTTTTATAGGAAAGTTTCCGCTTCCCCCCCTCCACGCCCTCCCCAATTACTTTTTTTTCAAGCCATTCAGAAGTGCTCTGGCCTCCCCGCACAGACACACATACATCCTTACCCCAACCTCTTTCTCGGTTTCYCTCTCCGTGGTTTCTCTCTCAAGCTCCTTCGGTCCGCTCCCGGCTTTGGGGTGGCGCTGAGGGGCCGGCCCGGGAGGTTATGGGGGTGGCCAGCGCCCCGTGCGCTGCTGCGGAGGGGACCGCGGGCCGCTGAGCGCCTGTGCTGGGGGGCAATGGCCCCGAGCGGCCGCGGGAAGCTCGCACCTCTCGGGCTTCCTTCGCCGCAGCGGGCACGGCTTGTAGCGAAAGGGAAGAAGGGTAAATTACCCGCGGGACAGCATCCAGGCACATCCTAATTTTGTTCCACTTTAGCACACGCCGCGCTCCCATCACTGAGGGCCCCCGGGGTCTGACTTGCTGAGGGATTCGCACATTTCTGGGCTGGGGAGGGGTGGCGGCACAGCCTCGTCCTGTCAGGCTGGAGGACTGCGTTCGGGGAAAGCCATCTTCAGAGGTGGAAGCAGTGAGGAAACCAAGCACTGGCTTCGTACATGCATAAGCACCACTTCTTGAGCCCGTCTTATGAGAAACCCTGGAGGATCCGCGTCTCCAGCCTGGCACACTGGGAAGCGGAAGGGTGTACAAACCCTCTTTGCCCTCAGTGTACTGACCTCTCACTTCAGTTCGTCCTCCCTCAAGGCGCTCGAGTCCGGCACTTCCTGGGAAAATAGACTATTTATTTTAATTTCTTTTCTGTGTTTGCAGCCAAAGCGATTTCTTCCCATCCCCCGCCTTTGTGCCTCCTTCCCCGCTCGCTGGCAGCACAGAGCAGGTGGTGTGTCTTTTTAACAGCAGCTCAGATTCAAACGGGGAACGCCTGGGAGGGAAAGCTAGAAATTGCCATCCATCAGTAAMCGGGCGCGAATCTTTCTCCGCTCCCCGCGCAGGGACCGCGCTCTCCGCTGCCCGCCTGGCAGCCACCGCCTGGGCAGCGCCGGGTGCGGGGCGGAGCGGCAGCACCGGGGCTCCCTGGCTTGTCGAAGGTGTGAGGGCGGACGGGGTGAACGGACTAGCRGAGGAGCGGCAAATGCCAGGCAGGAAAAAGACAAGGCTTCTGCAAGAGCGCTGTCATCTCCTCAGGGGGAGCGAGTCTCACCTCTGCCTAGGGACTCCCTTTCCTCCGTGCAGAGGCTCTTCTTCCCGGGAGATGCCCCGGGCCAGGACACTGCGCTGCCGCCGCCGAGGGGCAACCGGCCGGCCGCTATCACTGGCCCCGGTCCCGCCGCAGCGCCCGTCGGGCACTCGCTGCTRCCGGAGCTGTCCCGTCGCTTCTCTGCTCGCTGCCCCTCTGGGAGAGCTCCCCTTCTCGGGTCTTCCATCCCGCGGTACGAGCACACGGCAGTCTGCCCTAAACCTTCTCTTTTGGAAAACAGCTGGAAACAGGACCGGGGAGGAAACAGACTTAGTCGGCAAGAGAAGGCACGCCGGCAAGCAGACCYCAGTGAGCCTGCACAGCTTCCCCGGCTTTCCACTTGTCCTTGCTGCGTCTTCTATGACCATAARCCTCTCCATTCAACACCACAGCTTGTCCGGAGAGCTTCAGGGGTTCCCTTATGCTGGCAGCAGCTGCTGTTCCCAAGGTAAGAAGAGCTGACTCTGCTTCCGCTTCCCTCTCACCAATAATTTTGTCTGTACCCAGAGTTTAGTGCTCTTATGGGGAATAGAGCAGTGTCATTACAAAAGAAAGGTTGGAAACAGTAGAGAGGAGCATCTGTAGGTGGCTCTAGGGGCCTTCCTTCCTTCCTTCCTTCCTTCCTTCCTTCCTTCCTTCCTTCCTTCCTTCCTTCCTTCCTTCCTTCCTTCCTTCCTTCCTTCCTTCCTTCCT